TACTGACCTGGGAACATTATCTTACATTTCTATATCCGTTTCTAAAGTAAACAAAGTTTGTTTCGCAAATATGGCGGCGGCAACTAATGAAAGCAACGTTTCCATTTAACTGGAAAGTTAAGCAAGCATTTTGTTTTCAAGTTGAATGCTGATGGTAAAGTAGACGAAGGTGACAAAATATACTGCGTTCACTGCAATAAACAGTTCGCTTTCCGTAGCTCAAACACATCGCTGACTTTTCACCTTCAGCACAAGCATCCTCTGAAATATCAACAGGTTGTCGACAGTGAACGTAAGATGACCCCTCAGGTAAAATCAATCACCAATTTCTTTACGTGTCAGTCAAACAAATCTGTCAGTGAAAAGGTCTCAGCTGACCTGAAGGTGGCAATAGCTCATTGGATTGCCAGTTCTGGACGTCCGAAAGCATTTGTAGAAGATGCTGGACTAGAGGCGGTGCTTCGTATTGCCCTTCAAAACCAGACTTACACTTTGCCCAGTCGCCGTACAATCGACACTGTCATTGGAGAGATGTACAATGAGAAGTTGAATGAGCACAAGAAAGCTTTAGAATGCATTCATAGTATTGCTCTAACTGACTTTTTGACCTCTACCAACAATGAATCGTACTGTGGGATAACAGGTCATTGGATTGATTCTGAGTGGAAACTGACCTCTGTCGCTTTAGCTTGCATAAATGTTGAAGAAAAGCGCACTGCTGATAATGTTGCCAGTTTCTATGAAGAGTTTGCCGCAACGTGGAACATTGCTGAAAAAATTAGCTGTATCGTAACGGACAGTGCACGAAATATGGTTGCTGCTATAAGACGGAAGGATTACAGCCATATACCGTGTATTGCACACTGTCTTCAACTGAGCATACTAGCAAGTTTGAAAGCAGCTGATTCATCTCCTATTCTGGCTAAATGTCGACACCTAGTTGGACATTTTAAGCGCAGTTCAAGGAATACATCAGAGCTAAAGGCCAGCCAAGCCAGTACCTCTAACAGGTCTGACGATGTGAAGTTTCACAAATTGCAGCAGGATGTAGCTACGCGGTGGAACAGTACCTACCTAATGTTAGCCAGATTGCTGGAAGTGAAAGATGCCATAAAGCAGTATCATATTGACCATTCCAAGAATTACACTGGAGATAAACTAACGGAGTTGGACTGGGACAAAATGTCAAAATTTGTCTCGGTATTGGGTCCACTTGCAGATGCTACTGAGTATATTGGTAGTGAACAGTATGCTACATGTTCGGCTGTACTTCCGTTAGAAGCATTTTTGAGCAGACTTCTGCGGGTTATATATAAATTATATATAAATTAAAAAGAAAAAAAAAAAAAAAAAAAAAAAGAAAAAAAAAAAAAAAGAAAAAAGAAATTAAAAAAATAAAAATAAAATAAAATCAATAAATTATGTATAAATGCGTATGTGTATCTGTGTATGTATGTATTTATGTATGTATATTGGTACATATATGGGTGTATGGGTGTATATGTGCTGTTAGTATGGGTGTGTGTGTGCTTGCAGTCTATGTATATTAAAAAATAAAAAAAAATAAATAAATAAAGAATAGTGCTGCATAACCTCTGGCGTAGGAACACCCAACTATAACTGCTTAGCAATCGTTTGGCTGGATTGGGATTCGGTGATACCACCTATGATCGCTTGTATGATAAAGATGCAAACACAATATATACTTAAAAAAAAAAACTATATTAGAACAAGAGCTAATTATCAACAAGAATTCAAGAGCCCCACTCTGATTTTATTTTCTACAATTTTAATGCAAGAAATGTTCAATTCAATTTTTTTTTTTTTTTAATCTATTCGATTTATATTATCATCACCAACACACTATGACGTCATCAAACACATCGATAATTAAACTGAAGTATATTATTTTTAACTATTCTATGCAACGGTTTATATAATTATTTATCGGAACAGATCCAATTTAAAAGCTAATAAACATTTACAAAAAATCAAAAAAAATGAATTCATTTAAAGCGTTTTGATTCAAGACCTCAAGGACTTCTTCGAGTTTCCGCATTCTTTATTCCTAATTTTTATTGTTATATTTATTGTCATATTTCTATTGTTAACGAAATCTTTATTGTAAATATTATTTATTTCTTTCTTTTATGTCTTACGTTTTATTCACAAGTTATAATAGAAATTGTAGTAATGATTGTAATAAAGAATAAAAAAAAAAAAAAAAAAAAAAAAGGTTAATGATGACGATCCAGGGTATATAGCACGTTTCAAATCTGCAACACTGAATGACTTCTCAGGTCGCATTGAAAACATTGATGCATTGCCAACGTTGCAAATGGCTGTGGCATTAGACCCACGTTACAAGAAACTCGGCTGTCTCTCAAGAGAGATACGTGAAGCAGTTTGGACAATACTTTCTAATGCATTTCGGGTGTACTGTGACCAAAGACAGAGAGCTGAACGTGAAACTACTACCAGCACCAGAACCTGTGCGTAAGAAACTGAAACTTACTCTGTTGGTCAGTGACTCGAAATCCTCATCAGATGAATCACAAACAGTACATGGCTCGCTGGCTGAGCTACACGATATCAAGAAGAAGGTGTCATTCCAGAAACTGAGAATCCCCTTATGTGGTGGCAACTGAACAGGCATCGTTACCCTAACCTGAGCAGTTTTGTGCAGACAATTCTGTGTTTACCTGCCACTTCTGTTCCTTGTGAAAGACTGTTTAGTTCGTCAGGGTACATTGTCAACAAACTGCGATTTTGTCTACTTCCTGAAAACGTTAACGTCCTTGTTTGTTTACGTGACTGGCTAAAGTGATACCTACTTGTACTTGTCAATTAAACTGAATATAGTATAGCAGGCATTAAGTGTCTTGTTTGTTAACGTTTGTGAATACTGTAGTTAGTTAACGTTTACCGATGACAACTTCACCTCACCAGTGGTGAAAAGCAGGTTATTCTGTCGACTTCAGAATTAATCGAAATTAATCGATTAAAATTTTAGACGATTAATTGAACAAAAAAAAAATTAATCAGTACCAACTCTAGTTTTTAGTGATCAATTTTCCCTTTAAACGGGAAATCTAATTTCTGAAGGAAAAAGAATTTCATTTTTTTTTTCTTCATGAAGTAGAATTTCAACTTTGAAATTCGTGCAAAACGTATTTGGGGTATTACAACACAGGAGAAACATGCTGTTAAACAAAATAGATGGAATGCGTTTGTTGACGATACGAAACATATTCAATTAAACTTGTGGTTTTGATTAAAATAATTATCAAAGTTTCTTAGCCAATATTTTTTTTAATTAATTATTTACTTAGTCATAGGGGATCGTCCATAAACTACGTAACACAAAATACAACTTTTAGACAAAAAACAAAAGATTGTAAGTTTTTTCTCGCAGAGTCCCATTAAACCAAGTATATAAACAACTTAGAAGTCCAGCTGCGCAAAACAGTAAAATGATCTCCTACTTAAATTTTTTAAATAAGTTTTGCGTTAAGTAATTTACATAATACGGACTATAATACGGTCTAGAAATACGGACCGTTTCCTATGTTTTTTGTTTTTAAATTCTAAACTGCGCGACGACTCGGCGAACCTAATACAATTTAAGAGCGTTTTTCTAAAAGGAGCTAAGTCGCATTTATATTGTTTTGAAAAAAAACAAAAATTACTAATTGTCCATAATTTTGTAATCATAAATAAAAATTATGAATAACTTTTTTATTGATACTAGTATACTCAGGTTATTTAAGGCCAGTCCAAATTTTTGAGGTAGTTCGACTTACCTTCTAGACATTTCTTTTAAACAATTTTTTTTTTTGAAAAGTTGTTGTCTTAACTGAATAATAATTAGCAAAAGCTGTGCAAAGTTAAAAAAATTATTATTGACTACAATATAGAGGTTGACTTAAATTGCCCTTTAACTAAAAGATGAATATATGATAAAATAAGCAATTAAATTGTTAGTAACAACTTTTCTAGTTATATGCAACCTAAACGACGTTGGTATTGTATTCTACCATTAATCCATAATTTTATCTAGAAGGTCAGGCAGAAAATCCGACGTTTTGTCATTTCTTACAACTAAAATATCGGGAATTCGGTAATACTTAACGGTTTGTATTTAATGGCTTTTTGATGGGTTATAACAACAGAATTAATTTGTCAGGTAGATTAATAAGTCGTAATATTTTTTAATAACTTGAACAATAAATAATATGGTTTGTTATGAATTCATTGTATTATATGATAATTCATAGCATGTTATGAACTCATGATATATATTTGAAAAACTAATAATTGCTGAAAAAACTTTCTTGCCGGGCTTTTCAAGTCTAGAAGTCACCGCTATATTTTAAAACAACGTTTTAAAATTATCGCGAGAACTGAACGACAAATTGTTACGTCACCCGCAGATAATCGAAATAAACCCGAGACTGGCCTTAAACAACCTGAGTAGTTAGATTTGTACGTTTAACAATAAAAAATTAAAATGTTGAAAAAATTCAATTTTTGAAACAATGGACTTAGCGCCTTTTAGAAAAACATTTTTCAATTGTAAAAAAGGTGTGGCGGAATAGTGTCGCAAAACTTTGATTGTTGCAAATTTGATGCTTGAAAATGTAAAAAAGGAATAGTGTCGCAAATTGTCGCATTATTGATTGTCAAAAAACAGAATAAGGAATAATGTCGCAAATGATTTCGAAATGAATAGTTTCGAAAATAAAAAAATGAATAATGTCGCAAAGGAGTTTAATGAGTAGTGTCGAAAACAAAAAAAAAAGGAATAGTGTCGCAAATGAATTTAATGTATAGTGTCAAAAATAGAAAAAAGGAGAATGTCCTAAAGGAGTTTAATGAATAATAACAAAAAAAAAAAAATAAAATAATAGCTTTAGATAACATGCCTGATGTTGACAATGATAAAATAAATGGTACAAGAATATTATTAAATTTCGCGAGCAAAGAATTTTTGTTCAAGCAATTCGGAACTTTTCATGTACCTAGAGAACAATGCTCAGCTGTTAAGCATACGAATAACAAAACAGCAGTTAACAATGTTTTAAAAAATCTGATGAAATGAAAATTATCGAAGTGACAGTTTACTCCACCAACTCCTATAACTTCAAATGCTACTTATACCAGAGGAGAAATAAATAATTTTGTTTACTAAGCTAAAATCTCTTGATAATTTAGATAAAGACTGTTTATTGTTACCAAAAGAAGTTAAAAGTAAGATTATTGCGACGCAAAAAGAATATCGGTCGGCTTTCGAAGCTGCCCGACAACTAGATAGTTAAAAGCATCCTGTAGAAAATCTAGTAATAGTGGAGGATACAGAAGTTAAGTCGAAAAAGCAGCAACAAAAAGACAAAAAGACAACAAAGAAGAAAGAAGATGGCAAATGTTCTCTTAGTAAACATTGAACAGTTGGTAAGTAGTTGGTCCGATACTAATAACCTACTATTAGCTACAGTTTTGCCAACTGTCAGTTATTAAGTTGGTACTGTGAAAAAAACGTATCGCAATTTACCAACACTTAGCCAACTGTTTTATAAACTGTTGGTACCATTAACGGCCCAACAATAATAAAACAGTGGATTAACAGTTGGTACCATTACCGGCCCAACTATATGATTTTTTTCGCGATTTTTTAAATTCGATTTTGCACTATAATTGAAAGTGCAAATGTTATAAATGTTTTGAATATTTTTTAATAACAAAGGATATTTTTTCTTATAACTTCTAGTTACTTCTCAATAGTGATTGATTGTATATCAGATTTTACCAGTCAAACAGTACTACTGCCCACTAGACACTAGATAATCGGTCTCGAGTCCATACAGTATCGGTATCGAAATCACTCAATACTGATATTGAAAGTATTGTTAATGTTCGTATCGTTTGGTATTATTTGGTCTCAATGCGATACTTTATAGTATCGACTTCGAGATCATGCGATAATGGTATCGAAAGTATCGGTTATGTTGGTATCGTTTGGTATTGCTGCGATACCGTACAGTTACGATATCGAGATCACGCGATAGCGGTATTGAAAGTATCGTTTATATTGGTATCGTTTGGTCTCGGTGTGATACCTTTCGGTATCGATATTGATACTAAAATCAAAAGTTATCGGTTATGTTGGTATTGTTTGGTACCGATAACCAACATAACCTTTTAGGTTATGTTGGTATTGTTTGGTACCGAGTGTATCATTTGGTATTGCAACTCGGGTCATCATGAGAACTTCCATGTTATTTTTTATAAACGATTAGTAATTTGAAATAGTAAATTCGTAAAATTAATGAGATAATTTCTCATCTGGTATCTTTGTTTTAATTTAAATAATTGTGTGGTACCACTTCACTATTTCTTTTTTTTTTTTTTTTTTTTAGTTGATTAAGGTGCCCCAAGAAGTCCTTACGGTCTTATCACAGAGCACCGCGGAAGAACATTTAATAGGAAGTTCACGCCTCCTTCCCAACCGATGTCGCAAAATCTGCCCAGAGGTGGGGTTTGAACCACGTCGAACCATCTTACGTTTCTAAAGTAAGTGCGCTATCACTGCGCCACGGATTTCTCATCCCCAGTAAGCACAAGACGCATTCTAGACGTATGTAGACGTCTAAAAATAGTCTAGATAAAGACACATTTTTAAAAACATGTTTAAGACAAAAAAAAAGATATTTTTTAGACGTCTTTTATAAATGCGCTTTTAAAATGACGTTTAAAAGACGTCTTCATTAAAATTTAAAAAGACGTCTAAGAAGTCTAAATTTTCAAAGACGCCTAGACCATAAGGCTAAAAGACGTTTTCATTCAGACGTCTATATAAAGATGTCTTTAAGACATCTTATTGACGGCTTTGCCAAGATGTTTTAAAGTAAGCGCGCTTACTTTAAAACGCGTTCTCCATTCAGAACTTTTTGCGCTTTAGAGAAGCGGAAAAGTTCTTTAAGCATGCGCAAACAGTTTTTTTAAACCCGTTCTCCAATCAGAACTTTTTGCGCATGATCAAAGAACTTTTCCGTTCCTCCAAAGCGCAAAAAGTTCTGAATGGAGAACGGGCTTTAGCAAAAAAATTTGTAGTTACATGCGTAAAATGTTTAAAGCAATGACGTACCTTTAATTGCGTTACTTCCCAATTCGCTATGTAATTAAATTTATTAAAACAGCTTTTTTAGCGAGTCAAATTTTAGTGTATAAATAAAACAAACTTTGGCGGGTTTTTTCTCTCGAGGCTAATCTACAAACATCAGATAATTTGTTTAATCCTCTGATATCTATTGCATACTTGTTATTTGTCAATAATCATTATTTGATTTTATTTGTTTGTGTTTTATTTTTATTGAGAAGTTTATGTATCATTATGCATTCTAGTGAAAGGGAGATATTAATACTATACATTGGATGGGAAAATGGCTGGGAAAATTAATGTAACTTTTCTTTTATTAAGCGATTAATGAACACTGATAAAAT